AACTCCGAGGAGGATCCGGATGAGGAAGTGGACCGTCTCCACCCCACAAAGGAAGGAAAACCAAGAGGAAGCTCTTCAGCTCTCCCCAAGTGCATCAGTTGTGGAGGTCGCCACAAGAGAGCCGACTGCAAGTTCCGCTCCGCTATCTGCCGGGCGTGTGGAAAACAAGGACACATTGCAGCTGTGTGCCTGGGCTGTCAGAAGGTACAACCTCAGGAAGAATTGCGCCTGAAAGGTACCAGCGTCTCCAGCCAGAATAGGGTGGGGTTTTGCGCTTCGCAAAGAAGCATCTACAGGACAGGCACACACAAGCCCATTAAGAAAAAGCTGTCACTTAAAGTGAAGCTACAAGGGGTTCCATTAACTATGGAACTGGACACGGGGTCTGCACTTTCGATCATTTCTATGCACACTTTTAGGAAGATCTGTTCTGGTAGTGGAACTCAGACCAAGCTGAGGCCTTCTGATATTGTGTTAACAGACTTTCAAAACTCCACAGTGTGTGTTAAGGGGGAGGCCACCCTTAACGTACAGTATAAGGATTTTGAAGGTCCACTAGACATATTAGTAGTAGGGGGTGAACGAACGAGTCTCATAGGACTCGATTGGTTTGAGGCCTTGGGAATACACGTCACAGGGCTCAACAGCCTACAAACACTTGACCTACAGGAAGTCTGCAAAGAATTTGCAGATGTTTTCAGCCCCCAGCTGGGCACATTCAAAGGACCCCCTGTGTCCTTAAAGCTAGACCCCACTGTCACTCCCATTAGAATTAAAGCAAGAAGGGTCCCTTTTGCTTTAAAGAGTAAAATTGACACTGAATTGGATAAACTGATCCAACAAGGAATTCTAGAACCAGTTGACTCCAGTCCATGGGAGACCCCCATTGTCATGCCTCTTAAGGCAAATGGGGACATTCGCATCTGTGCTGATTACAAATGCACTCTAAATAAGGCATTGCAGCAACGTGCCTATCCTGTTCCTGTGGTCAGTCATATCCTGGCCTCCCTCAAGGGGGGGCGCGTTTTTGCAAAGCTTGACCTAGCTCAAGCATATCAACAGCTGCCTGTTGATGATGACGCTGCTATAGCTCAGACTATTGTGACCCACAGAGGGGCTTTCAAGGTAAAGAGACTTCAATTTGGAATAAATATCGCTCCTGGGATTTTCCAAAGTGTAATGGAAAACACACTACGGGGTATACCAGGGGTTTGCCCCTATTTTGATGATGTCTTAATTGCAGGAGACTCCACACACATTCTAGCTGAAAAGCTAAGGGCTGTCCTATTAAGGTTCAGGAAAACGGGACTCAAACTCAAGAAGGACAAATGTAAAATTGGGGTGCCTTCTACTGAGTTTCTGGGGTTCAAAATTGATGCTGCTGGGATTCATCCTGCTGAATCCAAACTAAAAGCCATTATGCAAGCCCCTAGGCCAAAGTCTAAGGCCGAACTACAGGCTTTTCTGGGCCTTCTGAATTTCTACAATTCCTTTCTTCCACACAAGGCTAGTGTAGCTGAGCCTCTTCACAGGCTATTAGATAAACAGGCAGTGTGGCAGTGGTCACAAACACATGAGGCTAGTTTCAATGAGGTCAAGGCCTTGCTCACTTCTAACAGTGTACTTGCTCACTTCAATGAGTCCCTTCCTGTGTGCATTGCTTGTGATGCTTCCCCTTATGGGGTGGGTGCTGTACTGAGCCACCTCAGGGCTGATGGAACTCAGGTTCCTGTTGCATATTACTCCAGGACATTGTCTTCAGCTGAACGCAATTATGCTCAAATAGACAGGGAGGCCTTAGCTGTTGTTGCTGGAATTAAAAAATTCCATGATTTTTTATATGGTAGGCATTTCACGGTCTTCACTGACCATAAGCCTTTGTTGGGACTGTTTACCACACATAAACAAACACCCCAAATCATCTCCCCCAGGATGCTCAGGTGGTCTATCTTTTTGTCTGCATATGATTTTTCCCTACTTCACAAGCCTGGGAAGGAAATGGGCCATGCTGATGGCCTCAGTAGATTACCCCTGCTGGTAATAGAGGCTGACCCCGCACCAGCCATCAATATTCTCTCCATTCAAGCCTTGCCCGAGTCCCCCCTGAATGCCAGGGATGTAGCCGCTGAATCAGGCACAGATCACACACTTTCACGTGTCCTTTCTTGGGTTTTGTCTGGATGGCCTGAGCACTGTCCTAGTCCTGAGTTTCAGAGTTTCTGGTCTAAAAGGAACGAGTTGTCCACCTCTCAGGGTTGTCTGCTTTGGGGAAGCAGAGTTGTCATTCCCACCTCAATGAGGACTAGGGTCTTAGATTCCCTCCACGAGGGTCATCCTGGCATTGTACGAATGAAGGCTCTTGCACGCAGCCACTTGTGGTGGCCAGGTGTAGACAAAGACATAGAAGCTAAGGTGCATGCTTGCCACCTTTGTCAACGCTCACGCCCTGAAATGCCCCAAGCTCCTGTGCATAGATGGGAGGAAACACAGTCTCCATGGTCTAGGGTGCACATTGACTACGCTGGGCCCTTTCAGGGTCAATTCTTCTTGGTCCTTGTTGACAGCCATTCAAAATGGCTTGAGGTTGTACCTGTCTCTTCCACCACCACTGCAAAGACTATTTAGGTACTGAGGGGGATTTTTGCTGCACACGGGCTTCCAGACGTCATTGTGTCTGACAATGGCCCTCAATTCACCTCCTCCGAATTCCAAGCTTTCTTGCAGGCTAACGTGATTCGTCATGCCACTTCTGCACCTTTCCACCCGTCCACCAACGGTATGGCTGAACGCATGGTTCGCATCACCAAGGATGCCTTGAAGAGGCTCACCTACGGGGACTGGCATCACAGGTTGGCTGACTTCCTCCTTTCCTATCGCACCACACCATCCACTTCTACAGGGAGAAGCCCAGCTGAACTTCGTTGGGGACGCAAACTGACTACCAAGCTTGACCGGTTGCATCCGGACAGACTGCCTCCTTCTGTCTCACACCCCAGGGCACCTAGGCAACTTCTTGTGGGTGCCCCGGTTTGGACTCGTAATTACGGGCCTGGGCATACATGAGTCCCTGCATCTATATCCAGGGTCACAGGTCCTCTATCCTACGAGGTATCCCTGGACAACAGTCGTGTCCTGCGTCGGCACATTGACCAACTTCGCCTTAGACGGGACCTTCCTGCTGAGACTCCTGGGTCTTTTCCAGGGGGGGAGGGAGAGCCCTTTGGGCAAAGGGAGGGGCATGGAATGATGCCCATTACCAATGAGGGAGCCACAAACGGCCCATCCCAAAATTCCGCGAGTGCTCCAAACAGGAATTCTAGGAGTTTAGCCAGTTATCAGGCATTCACGCCTACTCCAGCCAGGGAGTCACCCCGGGGGCATGATCACTTTTCACCCGTATCACTCAGTACTCCAGTCAGAGAGAATACCCAGGAGCATCCCAACAATCCATTCCCTGCAAGAGAGCTGGCACACACTCCTCCTAGTTGGCCTGACTTCAACCCTATCCCTAGAAGGGGGCAAACACATAGGGAGGTGGTCAAGGAACCAAATCCCAACTACAACACCTCTGACTACACTCAGGGGACAACTGAGTTTTGGGACAGTACTGAAACCCACACAAGCCCGGACACAGAACGGGATTCAGGGGATAGACAGCCTCCTGACAGGTCTTGGACGGACCTAGGAGGTTCTACAGAAATGCCCAACAGTGACAGTCACTTAGAAGGGCCAGAGAGCCTACAGGTAGGCGGGACAACCAGGTCACACACTGGAAGAAGCCCTGGCCTGACGAGCCCGGTGGGCAAGCAAGCAGGCCAGGCATTGGAGCACAGCCCTTGGGAGTCACCAAGGCATAACGAGGGGGACAGGCACGCATCATCCCTCAGTCAAAGGGTACTTGGCAAGCACCCAGAGCTTAGGAGGTCACAGAGAGCGAGGAAATTTCCGAAGTACTTAGAAGATTACATAACACTATTGGCAAAAAAGAGCCAGTAACAATAGAGGCACAGAGGCCGATGGTATTGGGAGCATGGCACTACACTACAGAAATGAGTTATGTGTTATTATGATATAAGGAATAGTTTTAGCCCGGGGGGAAGGGGTGTTATGTCCTGAGCCTGTGCAAGCAGGCTCAGGGCATTGCGGACGGTCCCGGGCAGGTGCAAGCTGCCCGGGACCAGACAGGCTGTCGCCAGTACATGTGCGCATGCGCGGGTGCTGGCGCGCCAAAAGTAACAGATTGACCCGGGAAAGGCCTACATAAGGAGGCCGAGAGTTTTGGGCATTGCTGCCATATTCCAATGTAAGCTGAACTGAAGAATAAAGGTTTCCTGAGAACTACAACTGCTTCTCGTGTCTTACCATTTCGCGACGGACTGAACAGGAACCATTTTGTGGTTCTTTGTGGTGCCCATTTTATATGTTACTCTAATCATTTTAGCAGTATTAAATAATTTTCATACAATCTATACTCTCAGCAATTTAGCAATTAATGCTATGTCACACTTACATTGTAATCTTTACATTGCAGGGTTATGGTTCCAATTATAGTCATAACTTCATGGTCATGATTGATTTTTTTTTTCTCAGAGCATAACTTGTGAAAGCATTGCCCATTTCCTAACCTTCCAACTTGCTCCTTTGTTTGAAACCTTTTTCTATAGGGAACAAGTTCTCCTTAGTAATAATATTTCTTCAGCCTCATAGAGGCACAGATTATGACCTATTATAGGCAACTGGACACTATAGGCAATGCTAATATGCATTTATGTTCAATGAAATAATTTTGTGCTAAGAACCCCGTAGATAGATGTAAATGCACATTGAAAGCCAACAGCATTCTTATTCTTGAAAATGATGCAAAATCTTATCTCTAAGTATTCCTAAGACCTAGCTAAAGCCTTCTACTCCCAACTTATATAACAATATCACACAGTCACCCAACTTAATGTTCAGCTTCACAGTCATTTGATTATTATTTTTTTTAAAGGCATATTTACCTGTTTCTTCCTCTCTTCTGTTTTTGTGGTTTATAAATCTTAGGAAAATGAGACAGGAGGAGAGCAGTGCAAATGGAGATTAAAATCAAACGCAAAGCAGTATTTTCTATGCTAGAGTCTCATGTGGATCTGGTGAAAGTCAGGAGTTATAAATAGGTCTGGCTCAATATTATTTAACTTGACTCTGCGTGAGACTTGTAATAGTGTCATGTGTCAGGGGCACGCTGCAGCTCAGTGAGACCTTCACTGATGGCTGGATTTCTGATTTTCTTGCCTGAGTTGACATGTATTTATCAAAATAGCTTTGGGGAAATAATTTAAAGAGATTCAATCAGAACTGCAACAAGGAACTTGACTGGAATAACTAATGCAAATTAGGGATGGTACAATACAGTTGCCAGAATTAGGATGGCACGATGCAAAAGATGGCAGTCTCATTTTTCTTAACAGAAGAGGAACAGCCAACTGATAGAGCTTGCTGGACAAACTCGTTCCACTGACTAAAATGCCATCTGCTGCATTAACACGAAAGGGCCAAGAGTTCTGACTTCTTGTGAATGTGATTCCCCTGTCCCTGCTTCACACCCACGTCCATTTTTTTTTTTTTTTGCCCTGATTTGATTTTTGAGTTAATGCTTTGACTTACATAATTGTGTACTTAGTTTTATTTGATTGCAAATATAAACTTCTAAATCTAGAAAGGGTGAAAAGAGTGGGAGTAAGTCACTGTTTAAAATATATATTGTCCCATTGGTATTTTGTTCAGGTACATTAATGTTAAACCAACTCAGCTCCCTTCCCTCTTCAATAGATAGGAAAAATCCCACCACAGGCATGCATTAAATCTTGCTGGGAAACTGGAAATGGCTTACTGTATTTAATAAATTAGTTTATTAGTTTATTTAGTTACTAACAAGAGAGGAAACATACAGTATTTTACAAAAGACAGTCTTCCACTTGAAGGGCCACCTGCAGACAGCGCCGTGTTTGAAATAGTCTGATTAAAGAAGAACAAATCTAAGGACAGATTGGAGACACTGAGGTTGCCCCTGAACAGTTAACATCCAGAGGACAGACAGAACAGTTGTACAGGTCATCTTATGGTAGTTTCCCCCACGATTAGGAGATTATTGTATTTGTAATTGCAGTAATTATAGTAATTATTTCTAAATCTGTGCAACTCTGTATACATTAGCATATGCAACTGTTACATGTACTGTAAATTTGCACCTCTTTATGCCCTCCTGTTCAGTGATATGTTAGCGACTGCATTGCTATCAAGATGCCTGAATCAGGTAATGTTAATTCCTCATGTTTATAAACGGGTTTACTTATTGCCGGTGTAACTTCATAGTGACTTTATATAAGCACATATATATTAAATATAAGAACCACTGATCTGCAATATATCCATATTGGGTTAGAATGACTGAAGCTTTAAAAATCAGCTGAAGTAGAAACAAAAATGATTACGGTTCAAAGAACATTTTCCAGAGTTATGAAATTCATTGTGGATTACTCCCTTTGGATCTCTGAAACACAAGTCAAGGGTACACATTAGAGATGTGCAATGCTTCAGTAGTATGAAAAGGTGTTTCAGAGCATGAGGTAGCAACTCTTTAAGACAATCACGTCTTTTCCTAGAACTGCAAAGGTAAATTGAAGGATTGCAGACAAGTGCCATGATCGCATCACTGTGTGCTTTGAAGCACCATTTTGGAATCAAATCTGAAAAAGGCAAATACTTACAATGAGACAAGAAGCCAAATTCACAGACTGATATTAATTTATATTGCCTCCATCCTGGCACCCATCATTCATAATAGTAGTTTAAAACACACAAACCAAATCCTGTGTCCACCCCCATCCACCCCGCCCATTCCATGTATCCATTTGCCTCATTTTTTATTTTGCAGATTCTTGTGAGTTCTTCAGCTGCTTTTGTTTTTGATCACACTTACAAATTTAGAGCTTTTGCTGAAAGCTGTAAAATCAGTTAACAAAAAAGCCCTATTGCTTTTGTAAGCCTAGATGCCTATTATATCTAGAATACACTGGATGTATTAATAGAAATATATCCATGTTAGACATTATTTATTCATTGAATAGAAAATCAAACAGACTGTGGGTGGAACTGGTATTCCAAGATATCTATAGCTTTAAGTAGGAGTTGTGAGTTCAGGATGACCCTTCCCAGCTCATCTCCACAGGACTAGCACAGGCAGAGTCTAACTCTGAGCAGATCCAACTAATTTTATACAACACTTTGCACAATCCTCCCAACAGCCCCGCAAAGTTCTTCAAGAAGGGGGCCAAGTCACCAAGAGCATGGTCTCTGGATAGTTATCTGCAATAAGGCATATTTATAATAAGCATGTTTTGCTATCCTTTATCGCCACAAGGTAGTCTTTAATACAGGCTTTTTCTGGTGCTCAGCTGAACTCGTTCTTTGTCTTCCTCCAACGAATGTTCTAAACATCTCTTGCATTGCTTCATTTCTGTGAGCTGTTCCAAATACCAAGAGTCCTCCAGGATCCAAGAACACAAAGAAGTTGTATAGGCATGATCTGAACTAAGTCTACTATCACATGCTCATTGCAAACTGCAACTAAAGCCGCAGTTGAAAAAGAGGTGGAACCAGAATGTCTGCAGGTCTCTCTTCCTAAGATTTGGACAACAGATTAGGTGCTGCTAATCCAACATGTAGAAAGTGTAAGAACCATAAAGTCAGTGTCATATTGGACTATTTGTTGTGCCTTTAAAAAAAGACTGCAATATCTATAACTTCAGGGACATAATTACACCCAAGCTAAAGAATTAAAAATGTATCAGTTTGCGCCTGTTTGTTACATTTAAAAAAAATTCTGTACACTATAACAAAAAAGATTATAACTGGAATACTATTTAAAGAGAATGACTTGCCACAATAAAATGCATAGCTGAATGCAATATAATACATGGATTTCACCTGAGCTCATTTATCATTCTCATTATTATATGTTACTGGCAGAAGGATAACTTGATTGCTTTGTTGCAGTTATCTAGAGTTGGGATTGAGTGTTCATTTATTTTTGCCTAAATTAACATGGAGAGCCAAGATTACAGCCTAGTAAGATATTACAACGGCCCTTCTGTGCCATGTCTGTTGCTGAGAGATTATGTGGGCCATCTACCTAATCCTTGTGGTGGCAACTACTAAGAAAAGCCCTGAACAGACTTGAATTAAGAGTTTGCTCTTATTGAAGTGCAACAGAAGACAATAAAAAGATGATAAAAATTCTTGCAAGTGGCTTTAGAAAGAAAAGTATTGTTATTAGGTTCAATTTTCTCATTGCATTTTAACTAGGCTGATTAATCAGTACCAACACTATTGTGCTGACTTCCATGATTAAAGAAATTTTTTCTTTTAACTATTTTCTGCCAATTATTTATTAATTTATCTTTAGGTGAATTTTTCATTAAGGGTAGATCCTCCTTCCATAGATTTTTTGCACATAGAGGGTAAGAGCCACAGTATCCAAATGACCCCAAAATACAGAATAACAGTTGGAAGAGACCTTGAAGGTCTTCATTCAACCTTGTTTAAGCAGGAGACACTATACTGTTTCATACAAGTGGCTGTCCAATCTCTTCTTAAAAATCTCCAGTGTTGGAGGACCCACAACCTCTGAAGGCAAGCTGTTCCACTTGTTCTCGGTGTCAGGAAATTTCTCCTTATTTCTAGGTTGCTTCTCTCTTTGATTAGTTTCCATCCATTGTGTTGAGTTCTTTGTTCATGTGCGAATGATGAAGACACATGGTGACAAGTAACTAACACTTTATTCTCTTTCTCCAACACCCAAGCAATGAACAAAAGGCACGCAGGCCTTTTATAGGGCCAGAGACCCAGACAGTGTTAACCAATAGGAATTTAGCCTGTTCGTGCCTTGCACATGCGCACAAGGCTGGCGCTGCTCTGTCTGGTCCCGGGCAGCTTTTGGAATGCCCAGGACCAATTGCAACATTTCTGGGCCTGCTGAGTTTCCTCATCAGGCCCAGGACACAAAATCCTTCCCCCCTAAATAGAACACACACACTTCCAATTTCTTTTACAATCATAATAATAAAATAATGTATATGAAAAAAATATTCCTGCTCACATGCAGGCAACATTCTTATAAAATAATAAGGTTCTCTAAACAACCCACCCTTTAATGTGGACTTCCTGTGTCTATCTTCTACCTCACATAGGTCCAACTCCTATCCTAGACTAGTAAGGTTTCCTTGTGCTGACAGGAACCTCACATATTCACCTAAGTGCTTAGGAGGGGCCTTAGCCCTTTGTGACCTATGTAAGGCCAGGGGGTGTGTGTGTGACCTGTCAGCTCACCTGCCCAGCTAGGCAGACCAGGACTTGTACTTAAGGGCACCTGGCCTACCGGCCTGTCTGATGGATTTGCTAGACAAGGACTTTTATGCACAGATTTTGCAGGTGACCCCTGCTGAGGCATGCCGGCAAAGTTGCCAGGGCTCTTCCCAGGCTCCGTTAGAGCAGCTGAAATTCCCCAACCCTCTGAAGTGATTGAGGATTCCCCAACTACCCTGGATGGCTCGAGGAAACTTAGTCCCTCGAGCCCGCGACCAGTCTCGGACGTGACCTGCATTGCAGGAGTGCCCCAATAGTTCCAGTCCCCTGTGGCCGAGGTGCCAGAGTCAGGAGCCGCCTCTATGGCAAACCCCTCTGTTATGTCCCGAGCCTTGCAAACGGCTCGGGGCGTTTGCAGGCGGTCCCGGGCAGGTGCAAAGCTGCCCGGGACCAGATAGGCTGTCGCCAGCGCCATGCGCATGCGCGGGTGCTGGGGCGGGAAAAGTATCGCATTGACCCGGGAAATGTCTATATAAGAAGCTGAGAGGTTTTGGGAGCTGCTGAAGCCATCTACTTGTAAGCTGAACACAGAATAAAGAAAACTGAGAACTACAACTGCTTCTCGTGTCTTACATTTCCGCAAGGACTCAACACTGGCGACGAGGGTGGGATGCCTTACATCGCCTGGAAAGGAAGAAGTGTAAGCTTACCCAAGTGAGTCCTGAGCGGCGGAACGGTGTCGACTCGGCAGCTACTCGCCAATCCAGTGCGCATTCGGGGGTAGGCTGGCTGA